GCTGGAGATATTCAAAACCCGTCTGGATGTGATCCTGGGCAATATGCTCTAGGTGACCCTGCTTGAGCAGGGAGGTTGGACTAGATGATCTCCAGAGGTCCCTTCCAACCTAAACGATTCTGTGATAAGAAGGTCTGTACTTAACGATAGGAATGATAGCAAGAGCATGAATATCAGCAAAAAGGACTGTATTACCTTTCAGCCATGTATTTTCAGAGTAAAGAAAAACGGTTAACTCTCTGCATAACAGAAGTTTAGTAGTCAACAGTGCTCACTTCTGTGCATATTCATTGAATTTACCCAAACGCCAGATAACAGTGAATCTAAAATGACTCAACAATTTAGGGAAAAAAATAAGAATTTATCTTCAATATTTTAAGTTTGAAGTCATGACAGTATCTCTTTCAAAGCCTCTGATTTGAATGCATGCTGATGACAGGATACGCTAACATCTTAATCATCAGCTGCAGTTTTGGGAAATACAAAATCTTTTATATCCCATTTTAAAAACAATGAATTTAAGGGAGTTTGCTTTTATTCTCACTTATTTTGCTTTCAGCTACCTAGCATATCAAAACAAATGTGTTTTCCAGTGAAAAATCAGCTGTTTAGACAGCTTATATGCTCTTTACAACACGTGGGAACAAGAAATCATCAGAAAAAGGTAAGCAACACAGAGGCAATGCACATTTACCACGTGGTAGACGCAAGTACCTGAGTAGTTAAGTCAGATTTTCATCATCTCATTGCCCACATGCACACATTTTCCCCCTTGCAAATACAAAGGGGTTTATTCGTCTTTTAATGGGAGGCAAAAACACCCAGAACTATCTTGCGCTGCTACAAAGTAAAAAACAAAACAAAACAAAAAACCCCAAATAATTTACTTGTCAGCTTACTGCGTGAGCTGAATCTAAATCTAAACAGATGAGGAAGGGATGAGATCACCTTGGATTTGGGCAATATGCTACAATTATAAATCCCACTAAACACCTGATCTGGCCTCAGATTTATTTTTATTTTCAATTCACGAGTGAGAGAATCCAGCTTAACTCTCCAAACTCGTATCTAACTGGCAGTGTTGGCAAAAAGTAGTTTCCCATAAATCACTTCTAAGAAAACAGTGACTATAACTTCCTAAAAAAATACAAGAGGGCATTATACACGTGCGTGCACTTAGAAATTATTCTAAGCTACAAATCTTTTGCCCCATTTGTTCAGTGTTTTGGGGACCTAGTCTCTTTTTTTTTTTTTTTTTTTAAATTAAATCTAGAGAGAACTTGCCTGTTTTTGCAACGATGTCAATCTAGCTAGAAAAGTTACTCTACCCCCTGAAAAGTTTTGCCTTTGAGATATCCTTAAATATTCACAGCCTCAACAATATAATTGCTTTTTAGACACTTCGGTATTTAAAAAGAGAATATACATAACCAGAGAGAAATATAAAAAATAAAATTGTTAGGATAGCCAGAAGCATGAACTTCCTCATCCAGTTTCTTCCTCCTCTTCATCTTCCAAATACCCTACTGAAAAGGGCCTCTCTGCATTTTAAGTTCACACTTTAATAAGCTCTACTTGTATAAGGAAAGTTTCAACAATGAGGAAAACCTTCGCAAAATTCACAAAGTATATCAAATATAAATGGCAATCTCTGAAGTTGTCTATCAGCAGAGGAGAAATGACAGATCACAACAGATAGCGAGGAACTGATACGTCTCTGTTATAAATGGACTGTACTAGCTTCTGCTGTGTGCACGTCTTCATGTTGGAAGAGGCGTCCCTTTGTTACAGGAGTTCCCTCCAGCTTTTACTACATTTCGGGACCATAAGATCTGGAAACCACTACAGCACACTCCCATTTCAATTTAAAGAATGCCACCCTTTGATACTCCTGTGCATCAAATAGCTTTAGGAATTATTCTTTGAAATATAAGTTTTTGTAATTATTTTCTGTATTTTCACATTATTACCTGCTTCTCCAACTGCTCTGCGCTTTCAGAAGACTGATACATCTTTCATCAAAACTCTCACTATTTCTTCTTTGTTTATAATGACTTCTAGGAAACAAAATATAATGCTAAATATTAATTTTTAAAAATCATAAGCTGTCCATTAATATAATTATTTTACATCTTTGATCAAAGTTTAGAATTTGTTTGAACTGAGGCTGACAAGCACGTGCCATGCTAAAGAGAGGCACATACAGTCAGGAGAAGGCTGCAGCTTCATTGACACAAGGCTACACAGTCAAGTGTCACCACTTCCACACGAACACGTCCACTTTTTGCAGGTGCCAAGCTGAAGAAGGAACCTAGGTGAAGCTTTTAGCAGCACCCATGTATTCCCTGCTTTCTTTCCAGAAAGGTAAGGGAAAGCCAGCCACTATCTGCGTGTTCTCCTTTTCATCCCACTTCCTGCTTGTTTGGTTTCTTCCCCCACCTCATTTTTGCCCCAACATAAAACTGACCCTTGTATTTATGCCCCTCCACTTTTACTGGTTCCTGAAGTAAAATGAGACCATAAGAATGCTACAACTAACCTGTTCAGAAAGTTTCTGAGTTCTTAAAGTAGTATTGTCCTTTCTGTTGTCCAAATAGATCATAAGTAGTAGCTGGAACGCTCAGAATCTATTTGAGAATGATGATGCTATTAAAGTAAAAAAAAGACACACACACACACACACTCATTTTCATAGATTAGTGATTGTATATTAAATCTTAAAAAAATGTTATTTTCTCCTAAGTTACACAAGTTCATACTCAATCTAATGGCCCGTGTATTCAGAACTAACACGCAAACATTTGACTACATAGCCGAAGCTGGAAAGGGACACACCAGTGACACATTTGCCTCCTTAACTTCAGAGATGCAGTTTCTCTATACCCTTCACGCAGCAGCTGTTTGGCTGTAACATAGCAAGGTTAATCAGCACTATAACTCAATAATATCCTGTTATTTTAGGGAGCTCGGTAGCTAAAAGAGACTAGTATTTTATAAGTCATACAGACATTATGTCTGTATGTACACAACGTATAGTTTAATCGACTTCATTAATGAAGTATTTTGGATCAAATTAAGTGATCTAATTAAATCAACATATGAAGTATCTAAACAGAAAGCATAAGTGAGTGAAGTGTGTGTAGAGCTGGAAGCCAGTGTGAATCCACTTCCCATGCCCCAGGTTCTAGACTCAAGGAACCACGAAGTGAATTGAGACAACTCTGCCGATCTCTAATAACGGTCCATGAAACTGTCCACGTGATCTTCTCACAGGATGTACCCAAACAGCAACACGTGATTTTTGAAAAAGCATTGCTAGGCATGCAGATTATTTTTTCAAAAAGCAACACAAGTTCCAGAAAGTTTGGAGCCTATAGTTTACCACAGAAAGTTACATTTAGGCTGACAAACTGATACACTGAGCACTTTCTCCATAGCACACTATGGACCACACACAAAGAATTAATGAAAACACTTTAATTTCTTCCTACTTCTGGGTGGACTAAGGCAGTTGCTAACATGTCTGTCTTTGTTCAGTCTCTTAACCTGTAACTATTTGCTTTTTAGTAATTTACATCTGATCTGATCTTCATGAATGTCTTTTTGAGTTCTACCTTCTACTGAATTCAGATATGCAGCCATATCGTTGGTAACGCGTGCATACCATCTTCATCCATTTTAACCATCTACTCAGTATGTATCAGTTTCTATATCATTTAACCTAGGACCAGGGTCCATAAATATTAGCTAACAGTAGACTTACTTTGAATCCATTGTTTTCATTTTTTGTCATCCCAAGATGTCAGTACTTAGCAGTAGTGTCTAATATAAGATGTCGCACTGCAGAACAGCTGTGCAAGGAATGAAATGTAATTATTCACTGCTTTAACTGAACTGTAATAGAATTACCAAATACTTCAAGCCTGTGCTAGAAAAAAAGCCTGAAATCATCCTACAATTAAATTTCCAAAATAAACTACTATGTCAGCAATATTGGATTCACAGGAGCTTCAAAGCTAAATAATTTTCTGAAAAAGTGAGCTATTTAAAAAACTGTGTTCTCTTAAATATTTTCTAACCAGCTCTAAAATAAGCCCTCTGTACTGTGCCATTCCCTTAATCCCTGCACCAGCACTAGGTAGGATTTGTAATTCTTCACATCTACGCTCAATTCCATCTGCAATGCTACCGGCAGTTTTGAAGCTGTAACTGTGGCTTTTCCACTGCAACATCCTTGCAACAGTGAAAGGACAGGCTGCTGTCACTCTGTACTTGGTTGTGTAGATAATGTCCTTTCCAGAATTTTAAACCGCGTGTAATGTGAGTCAAATTATACTGTACACCAGAATTAGAAATGAAACCAATTCAGAACTTAATTTAAAGAAAGCTCGAATTTAATTTGTCAAGTAACATGCAAACAGCATTGCTCGTTTCTTTGGGAACGCAGGAGTTTTTTCTGGATAGAAACTTTCTGTTCTTCCCACCAGCAGCTCTAAGGACTAACTCAGTAGCAGTAGATCATAAGCAATTCATCATCTACACCTTAACTCTTCCAATCCTTGCTTTAATTGCATATCTCCCTCCTGGAGATTCTGAAACAAAAGCAGATGCTTCTTTATAAAATCTTGCAACTGAAGAGCTGCACCAAATATAAGCAGTTGATCAGTATCAGTGAAATGCCATATAAATATCTAAGGCACGTCTCACAGACGTGTTCAACGTGCACCATATTTTAGAGTACGCTATTGTAATAGCGTATGCCATTCAAAATAAACACATAAGTGAATGAGAAATTTGGAAGAAGTGACACCTTTTAGTACAACATGTGATCCAGCTGGAAGACAGATGTCATCAGGCCCTAATCCAATGTTCCGGACTTTTCCATAGCAATAAGGTGAGGGTGAGAGAACACAACAAAAACACATGTAAAATTATTTCATCCATATGTGGCTCATTTACATTTTCCTTTCGAATCACTTCTTGCAAACTGCAGATATCAGTCTAACCACAAATAACGAAAGTTTTCAAAGTTTGAGTTTCGAAGTATTCTTCACCAAAACATAAGCAATACTCATGCAAACCATCAAAGAAATATTGACTTGCAAACCTCATAAAAGTAGTCACCTAATTTGTATCTGATCTGCTTTTAGAACTGCATCTATGGACAAAAGGTCATGTATTGAATGAAGATACGTTATGTGTAAAGTGACACAGTACTGACACATAAAATCTTAATGATCATCAAATATCATTTGTTTTATTATTCACTTCTAAAGAACCCGTTTCAAGGCCACTAGGGTACTTGAAATATTTCAGATACGAAAGTTAAACTTAAACACAAAAATACAACAGGAAAAAAAAAAAAATACACAAACGTATTTTGAATTATGGCCTGAAGCTTATTACATTTTAAACTCCGAACAGATTCCAGGAGAACAAATGCAAAAATGGAAGCTGTCATCTGATGAAGACCACTTATTACTAGTTTGAAAGTATGCATAACAACATCAACTTCCATCACATTTTGCAAACACAGAAAACATTTTACATTTACTCTGCAAGACAGAGATCAACCATTTTGGAAAGAAAAGCTGCAAGTATTTAAACAAATATTCTTCCCATTATGTATAACACCAGTCACTAGGACTGCGTATGCATTATACGGCAGAAAAACCCTGTCAAGAATTTGTAGGCATTGTTATAAAAGTCCAAATTTCTTTTATTCCTGGATGTGAGATACAACAAATATAACAGCAACCAAGAGTAAAGAATACCACTCATGGAGCCCCACAAGTAGAAATACTTTGTCTAGTGCTATGGCAGAACAGAGACTCAAGACCTTTCAAACTCTAGTTTTAAAATAGAGACATTGCCTAAAATACAGGATATCTGCTGACACTCAGGCAAACCACTGGAATCTGGCAAACTAACATGAACACATGCCTGTCCCACACAAGGCTGCGGGTGTCTGTGTCTGTCTTTTAGTTCTTCCTGCAATTACCCCTTGAGGTAGGGCAGAGACAGCAGCGTCCCATCACGTTCTGGAACTGGCTGTGGAAGAGCAAGCTGTCATCGACAGCCTCCAAAGCCACGTCAGGTAAAGAGCTACAGAGCCCATTGCACGAGTTACTGCTAGGTCATTCACATGTGACATGTTAAAACCTATCAAACTACGTACCTTGAACCCTTTCATTCTTCCTGTCTTCCTTCCTGTCTTCATTCTTCCTTTGCTACAGTCTCGAGCATTTTCCATTTTTCTGTCAATGAGAAGAAATAGGTAAAGAGGCCAAGTACATACACGTTTCACTTCAGGGGGATGCTAAGTAAACGTCCAGAAATGCTCTTCGTTCATTCAACATTAGCCATTTAGTAGCTGAAAATTTATAAATCATTATTTCTAGATATAGGTTCTAGAAATAGGTAGTTTAAAAGGCTAAATAACAATTGGTTAAAATATTAAGGGCTTCAAACTATATTAGATAAAGAGGTAAAAACATACTAGTGGTTATTACAAGGAGGCAACTGACTGATCTGCTGCACAGCCTCTTTATTTACATGGTGCTAAGGCCAAATCTATAGTTTTCCCCTATCTTTTCAGAGAAAAACAAACAAACATCTCAACTTAGAAAACGGGAACAGATGGAAACATCCCAATTTACAACGTTTGCTTAGATTTTACAGATGTGGGGGGGGTTTCTTTTGTTTTCAAACTTTTCATTTCCTGTTTAGATAGTAAAAATTGATTTCTAACTTTTATACTGGGTAAGCTGTTCAAGGATTGAAGATATTCCAGATATCAGGAAAGGAGGAGGGAGGGGGAAGAAAAAAAAAAAAAAAAAGGCCCATACTCAGAGAAGCCTGATAGTCAAAAGCCTGAAGAGAAGAGATCAGGAACAGAGAGACTTTCCTTGAGGATCCCAGAACAGGAAAGCACAAGGGTAGGAGCACTGTGTCAGCATCCAGTAAAGAGCAAAGTGAACAAACAAGGGGCCAGTAAGCCAGCTCAACAGAATTTGCATGCATGCATGCAAATTTTTATTTATGTACACACACACACACACATATATATATAGAAGTAGCTTTTAATTTTTATATTTGGATATATAGAATATCTTAAGAAAGAAATATAAAGTACCATCTGTGGTATAGTTTTTAAGAATTCATATGTTATTCAGACATATAGTTACAGTAGGAAAATTCAGGTGATACATGATGCCAGAACATACCCAGGTACACCACTCAGATATTGCAGCGTCACACAGCGTTGGCAGGAAATGGGGGGAAAAAAATAAAATAAAATAAAATAAAAATCAGAGCAGAAACGTTCAGTAGCACCAGCACAGCCTTCAAGAGCAGCAATCTACCACACTAACAGTAAAGCATTCTTACCTAGCAAAGGATTATTTAGGATTGTAAAAACAGAGCAAATACTTAATTCCCTGATTCACCTGCTCATCCACTGGACACTAAATCAGAAAATAAAATTTGGGGAAGGTGACAGCTGGCTCTTTCACCAATTATGCATCACTGCTGAAGAGGAACACTCTGTCAGGATATTTGGGGCAAAGAGGACAAGTAGTTTTGTGGAAAGCACTGAGGTTTCATAAAGCTACATGTTATGTCTTCCCTTTCTCTTCTCTCCACTACCATTCTGATCCGATCTATTTACTTTTGCTTGTGAGCGGAAAGGACTGCCCTGAGTCACAGAGATACCAAAGTAGCGTCCATGTTTTTAGATAAGGGACTGAGATGATGCTGTTAAGAGAATTCAGTAAGGAACACCTAGCAGAAGAGTAATGCTTAAAGAATAAACAGAATAACGGAAAGGGATATATTACCATTACCGTAACCTCACGTAGAACGATAGAATAAGAAACAATTCCAAAAAAAGTTAAAGGTCATTAGCATTATGATATTCAACTTTTTTGTTGCTGTTTTAGGACTCATTGAAAAGTAAATTTGGCTTCAGGTGGGAGTTTTGTTTTGCCCATTGTTGCTTCCAAGAGGATTAAAACTTATACAAAGGTATTAGTGACAGGTGCAAAGTCAAAGCGATTGAAAATAGTTTAATTCCCATAAGGCATATGATTTAAAGCCTGTAAAGCATTTGGATGAAAAATACTAGGAAAAAAATCTACTTAGCAAACAGAGACTTTCAGCAACAGAGCCGTTACAGTCCATGGGTAAACTGTTCTCCATATAGCAATTAATGCAGTAAAATGTAGTAAAAACGATCCCAAAAAAGCAAGTTCAAAACCAATTCCAGTTAGAGCTGCAGGCAACAAGAAGTAGAATAAAATAAAAAATGACAAGAAAGTGTCACTTAGGCATCATAACAAGCAGCAGTGTGTTACACATTACATCAGGCAAGTTACAATTATGCAAACAGTGCACCCATTTGCTCCACAATAAATGTAATGCATCCCTTTTCTTTGAAGCTGCCATGAAATACTTAACAGCTCAATGCAGTAACAATACACTCAGACCATTACTATCCAATACTTGATGTTCAATAACTCAGTTTCCAAATCCTTGAGTGGTTGTCATTTTGCCAACACAAAGACTACAGTCAAGTTTTAGTTTATGCGCATAGGAGGAAAGAACATAGCCAGAACGCAGCAGCAAAGATGTCTGGTTTCAGCAAAAATTTGGTTAAACACAAATCTCAATATAACATATTTAAGAAAGTTAAGAAGCTTTAGATGCCAAAACAATACCAAGTAAAGTTCTGGTGCTACATGTGTGACAGCTGGGATGGTTAGGTATAAGATGAATTCTTAAAAATGAGAATTAGAATGAAACGGGCCTCCAGCTGTACTGAATCTATCACCAGCTAACAAAGATCTTGCCTCATTACACAGCTTTTAGCCATGCTTTACAGCAAAGAAAAGCTCCTGTAACTGTTCTCAGTCTCTCCCTACCGACAGAGGAGACACACAGAGGTCACGTATTATATATAGGTAATAAAACCCCATCTCTTTTCTGTGCTGTTCTGTATCCTTCCTTTCCCTTGGCACAAAACCACAGACTTATTGGAGAAGCAACCCTATCTATGCAAAAGCTATGTCGATGGTGCATCAGAGAGCTGAGGGTGCAAAATATCCATGCACAAATAAACAAATAAACAGCAGTTTCAGCCTGTTTTTACACTCTCATGTAGAGTATATGATATTTCTGTACAGATAATATACACTCATCAATAGCCTTAAGTTTTTTTTTTTTAAAAGAAACTGACACAGGACCTTTTCTAGATGCACTTCTTTTTCCTCTAGAAAGCACGTGTAAGAAGTGATCCACTAGACAAATACAACGATAGAATACACACACTCAAACCACACACTTAAAGTAGTGGCAAACAGTCGCATGAACCTTTTGGTTATAGCCTGAGAAATTCCTACTCTAAAAGGAGTAGGAAGTCCACTGATTTGTTCTTCGTCTTTTAGTGCAGGATTACCCCAGCATCGTGGACTTGTGGAGCGATGGCCGCCTGCACAAAGTTTCAGTTAGCACCTTTCAAACCAAACAGCCACAACTGTAAAAATAAGAATTTAAAACATACAAAAGAAGAGTCAGGCAGCTTATTAAATCTTCTCTGGCAGCTGCTATGCTGACAAAAACAAATTCTGATTGCTATTTAATCCAGTTAATGCAATAGGTGACTAACGGTTAAAATAGCTGATTGGAATGTATCTTGTACCACAAATCCATGCTAATGAACTGAGAACAATACTCAAGTATATTTAAAAGAACAGGTGGATTTCAAAAAGATCAAATCATTCATATGATATTTAAAAGTATGTGTTTATTTTTTTCCCTAACACATTTAAAGAGAGACTGAAGGCCAAAGACGCTTTTGGCAAAGTCTTCTTTTGTAATGCAAATGAAGTACTAAGAATTGTATTTAATTTTTTAAAATAAAATTGTCTCCTAAACAAAAAAACAAAACAAAAAAACAAAACAAAACACACACACGCTGCTGTGTGTAAATTCAATTTCTAGCCATCAGCAAACACCAAACTATATTTAACTCACCTTCCATTCCCCTTACTTCAGTGGAAATTAAATGAAGTACAGGCATAAAACAGTTCAATCAGCATCGCTCAACATACCCTTTTCCGGACAGGAACATTTTAAATTATCCCAGGACCATAACTGAAAAGGGTGGGAAAAACTGCTACGAGTTACCTCCAAAAATATAGAACATTATTTCCACTTTTGTCTCAGTTATGAGACATAACTGCTCATACAGCCCACTTATGCTATTACATTTCTTCCATAACGCTTTGTGGAATTACAAAAGTTAAACTGAAGTAAATAAATAAAATTCTGCATCTAATCTTCATTTTCATCCAAAGAGATATGTCAGTTTCTTGGGCTGGATTTTTCCCTCCCAAGAACGTTTACTTGTGCAAAATAACTACCTAAAGAAAGCCGAGTATTAAACGGCTATCTTGAAAGCCTTGAGAAGCATTATAAAGCTTTCACATTTTAATGTGTTTTGTGGAATCTTTGCCAGTAGAAGTTAACAGAGGGCAGTAAGTATTTTTTTGTAGTACACTTTGAAGTACCTAGCATTTAAGAGTGTTTACGATTGCAAAAAGGTGAAATTAGTAGCCTTGATTGTACATGTAAGTTGATGGACACGATAATTTTCAATGCACTGTAAACATGGCTAATAAGCATATACAGAAACGAAGTCTCTGTTACGCAGTTGGGAATTATACAGACTTGTTTATCACGGGTTGCAGCCCTTTGTATTTGCACTGCAGCAGCGCATACTGAGCAGGCTCTCGTGGAGCCATCAAACCTGTATGGCAGAGATGCAGGCACTCAAAACTGAGGACTCACCCACATCATTGGTGCAGTTTACTGGCAAGACATACACTTTTGGCCCAGATCTAAAATTTAAAAAAGTAGAGCTTTCATTAATAACAGCATTTTTTTTGCCTGAAATAAGTACTGTGTGCCAGCTAATTAGTACCGGGCTTCATTAGTAGCTTCATCATAGCTGCATGCTAAGAGGTTTAACTGCCTTTGGAATCCAAGACAGCATCTTTGTAGAGCACTGTTTGGCTATATCAGCTTGACTATCAACAGCCAGCAGGTCTCAAAAAAAACCCAGACATATGCAAAATGTGAAAAACTGGCATTTCCTTTAAAAAAAAAAAAAAAAAAAACAATGAATTCATAGTCAATAGACAAGTCATACTTTTGTCACTCTTTCAAGTCTCCAGCCGTGTTTCCTATTTTTGCTACAAGACAAGTCACTGGTCAGTTGTACTACTTGTCTAACTGCTTCAAAGTTGGTATAGATCATTTAAAATAACTTCAGTCAGACAACTTCACAGCCTTTTAAATCATTTCTACAGCCCCATTAAAAAGAAGTGACAATAGTGCACCTGCATCTCTGCGACACAGTGCCCCAGCAATGGGAAATGGAATGGGGACCTTGCTCAAAATTTTGGCTCTACTTTGGATTCATAGACACAAATTGCACCCGTCCAATAACTTTACTAGTTACTAAGAATTATTTTCCTTTTTTTCAGAAGCCCTCTCACCCTTTATCATATACATAACGAAAAAATTTATGAGTGTACATATCTTCTATTCCCATTTCCTCAAATATTTGCTAAAGTGAAAATCTTTTACTTCACAAAGTGGCTCTGTTTTCCCCACAACCAACAGATGCTTTCCTTGCATATCCCCAAGAGTTGCAAGTGGTTTAAAATGCCTAAAATAAGATTTAGCTTATAACAGTTACAGAAGTAACCACAATGTTTCTTTCGTCACACTGCCTTCTCCTTCCCACCCCCAAATTAGACATGTGATACCCTCCTTTTATACCTAAAGTTTTTTCCTAACTTCCAAATCAATAACTTTGATGCAGACTTTTCCACATCTGGCTTTAAGAATTTAGCAGGAGCATTAGCAGTGTGCCATAACAATTATTTTCAAATGTTCTGACCAAACCTTGAGTCTCTTCAAGACTCCACGTTTTTCAAGAGTGTCTCAGCTGACTGGGAAAGTCGCCTGTTATTCACCTTTTCTGTGTCACCACTGAGAAGCTCTTTAACGTATTCCTTCAATTTTTCCATAATTGTAATCTGGAGGACTAAAAGACTTCCATAGCTAGCGTTTATCAGGCTAGACTACAATTGCTACTCTTTCCTGCAAACATCACTAACCTTACAACATTGCTCTCACATTACTATTACGACCACAGTCTTGCTCTATCTTCTTTATTAAGACAGGTAAGCACTGCCTTTTGGCCTCACAAAGACAGATGCACAGATTTCCCTCAGAATTACAGGCTGGTAGCTTTGCTGCCAATATGACTTTTGAGTTAAAGAATACTGTTGCATGTAAAATAATTTGCTGGTACTTTAAGGCAACCCTAATGTTAACATTCTGATGCTATTAAAGAAATAAACATATCCATAAAAAAAACTACAACTATTAGGAAAAATTTAAATTAATATTGGGGGAAAAAAACCCCACAGAACTAAAACAGTAAAACCCTCTCCTTACCATAAAGGGAGAGTTCTCAGCTCCCTTCAAGTCAATGGAAGAAGAAGGTTCACATATCTGAGTGCATACGATATTTTTCGTACAAAAGTTTTACTAGCCAAACCTAAATACAATGGTCTGAAGCAGTGCCAGAGACAATGTCCAGAATTTACCACAGTGCATTTGAATTTAAAACAAATTTGCATTATGTTCTCTTTTAAATGTATCTTTGCAGCTGCTCACATGTTATCTTACATAGTTTTTCCTTTTTTTTTTTTTCTAAGAACGGAAAAAAGTTTCACAGAAAACAGTGACAAAAAAAGCAATGTCCAGCTACCATAAAGATTTTAAGACTGCATCCAGCTTCGTAGATTTCAAATCATTTCAACAAATTGTAGAATTGTTGCCCTCCCAAAAATATTTAGTGTCAAATATGTCAATTATAAATGAATAGTTGTCAACATTAGTGCAATTTTACTCCCCCAAATGAGCATGACAGGATTCTGGGAAGAACGTTTTGATGTTCTCCAGCACATGAAAATGAACGCTTATCCGCTACAAACTTCCAGTCATCAGATAGCAGGAACAACCACTCTTGCTATCATGATTTAATAACTCTTTAAAAGAGATGCAGTTTGAAGCTATTATCCAACTCATTTTATTTGTTGTACAACGTGGAAGACGTGCGCAAGAAATGCGACTAGGGAAACAATATGAAGTCTTAAGAAAATTTTACAAACACTTATCCAACTTAATCATATTATGTTTTTGTTAAAGTGTTATATACTAATCACATTTTAAATAAGGAAATTAAAGAACCGTTCTAGAACTGAATACACACAATACAACAGTGAATTTACTACATTAACAGCAATCAATCACTTCACAATTCAGAGAACGTCTACTGAAAACCCACAACAAAATCTGGATCTACTCCCATTTTAAAATCCAAATTCTGGCATCATTTTACGTAACCCTCCCCCCCCACTTTTTTTTTTTTTTTTTTTAAAGACTACAAGACTTCTTCCCCTTATGAAATTCGAACATTCCCCCAAAAGTATCATTTTATCTCTAGTATACATAACATTTAACAAGATGTTACACACTTCAAGAAACAGAAATTTAGCAGAACTAACAATATTAGAAATAATTAGTTTATTCACATATTAGGTTCACCCTACCTCCCTCTCCATAGCACCAAACAACGTCATTATTGTCCTTCAGAAGTTGATTGTTTACTACTGCATGCAAAATGAAGAAGCAACTTTACCCTTTTCTCTACAACAGCATGTCTTTTGCTCTCTTTATAATGTTCAGATTAATAAGAACCCACTCCCAGGCCTGAAGACATGATTACTGCAGTGGGGATAAGCTTTGTTTTTACCTAGATATTTAAGAACCATCCTCTCCACTGTGAAATTGAGAAATAAATACAACGGGAGAACATCCCATGTAAGAGGGCTAGCATACCTTATTTGGTTTTACATTTACATAACGTACAATTTTATATTCTAATATTTGCATCAAAAAATTCAACATTTCTAATGATAAGAAGAAACGTACAAGCAAAAGAGCCAAAGTCTATTTCATTTAGCTTCCGATTGCCCGGAGTAAGAAATATATTCTGGCTTGCAACAGAGCAAGGAGGGTAAAAAGAAAGAGTAAAAAAAAGTGCACTTATTTTAATTCTTGTACTGTAAAAGAATAGTCAGAGCACATTTGGGTGATCCCTAAAGGGCCACTCCAGCATACACAGCCAAGTCTGTATTTCCATGAAAAACATACGCCAAAGCAAGCTCATTTTAAAAATCCTACCCAGCACACAGAAATATACCTGTCTCTAACAGGAAGGGGAAAAAAAAAAAAGAAAAAAATTAAGTGAAGTGAAATATTCACCCTGCCAATAACCATTATTTATTAATGGCAACACCTCATACATACCCTGAACCAGTCATATTGCTCACAGAGCTTTTATTTACTATGAAGTTAAATTCTTATAGATGTTTAAAAACACAACGGACCCCAAATTCTGTACATATGGAGAAAAGGTGCTAGCAGAGAATATTAATGACTCTAAATTACTCTCCAAGCATTTCCAAGCATTCAAATACATGATGGGTATTGAGCAGCGGACCGGACTCTGCTTAAAGCAAATACTTTTCTTCCTCCCTTTCTATTTTGAGCGAATTAATCGGTGCCTCTTCCACCAGCTTCATTTCTGCCTATTATCGTAATTTCTCCCTTTTGTAAAGGTTGAACTTGTTTCTTAGCGCGAGCTAAGGAGGCAGCTCTCTGCCGAGGTCAGCGCCGAGCGTATGTTTACGAGAGGGAACATGAACGCCATTGATCCCAGTAGGAAGGCTGGCAGGGACGACACGTCGGGTGCCAAAGCCAGGGCTCTAATGAGCAAGCAGTTCCGGTCGGGCAGTAAAGGCCTTAACCTCCCTCGGGGAATAATGAGCCAGGCAATGTTTGCAGCCCCCAAACAAGCTTTAAGACAGGGGGAGAGTGCCGAGAACCGCGCTCAGCACGCTACGCTGTCAGACACAGGTGACCGAACAGTGAACTGTGCGCTTGGCACTGAGCGGCCCAACGCCGGGTACGACCCAGCGTCATCAGGCCTTTGTTTCCTCTTCTCTTCCCGAATTACCGGGTAGAATTCAATGGATCATATTGTTTGGTATCATCAGTCTAAATAAAGCAAGAGATTTGCAGAAATAGAGACATTGTTTGAAAACTGTACCCTCAAACCTCCATGATTATTTCTATTCAAAGGAAACACTTGTTGACATAACTGAATACCATAAAACTAATCTTAACAGAATAACGATAACAAAAATCATGAGCAAAGCCAGGCTTTGAATAGGATTGTTCAGTGTTGTGTTTTAGATATTTCAAAATTGGTATTAAAGTCACTTGCTTTTATGTATATTAATTTCTAGATAAAGAATAAACCTAAATACCAAGGTCTTTAACTCAAAGGTGGTAAGAGTTTATATAAATATATCTATCTATATATATATAAATAAAATGTTTTTCTGTGGTCTGTATCTAGGTATCTTTATAAGATACAAACATAGCTTTATTTCTTTTATCACTTTGTAACTTTAGAGTTGATGACAAACACAGAAATCTTGGAAAGCAGAGTTTAACTGGCCAAAGAGTGGCTCACTTAAAAACTTCTATGTAATCATTTGAAATAAAGTAGTTGAATGTCCTATAAGTTTACAGCATCAAAAAAATGGTAACAGAACCTGAATCGAGCAATGATACACTACTAACTGCAAACGTCATCAGATGCACAAAGCTACTGCAGGAAAACCCAAAGAGGACGTTGCATGCGCATTCTACACAGTGATGTCAAATAGGTATTAACAAATTGCTAACGTACACAAGTTCTTCCTCCCCTGCTAAAGGCTTTCAGAAGTTACAACACTGAAAATAAACTCGACTCTACAAGGTTACACCCTTCTGACACGACTTCTTGTGCATGACGTTATTGGCATGGTTACTAATAATGTTACTGTATTCAGTAACGTCCAATTCTCAAACACTTTTTCA